CTGGTGATGTGCAAGTGAGAGATAACTTGACTATGGAGGCAACACCAATAAAAATCGATGACTGAGAAGTGAGACAACTGAGAGGTAAAGATATCGTCTTGTTGAAGGCTGTTTAGGGAGGACCTGGTAGAGGAAGCATAACGTGGAAGCTAGAGAGTCGGACGAGAGACTCTTATCTGAAGTTGTTTTGTTTAGGTAATTTTCGAGGGCAAAATTCTATAAGCGGGGGAGAGTTGTAACATCCAGAATTCAATTAATTTATTTAATTGAGTTTATTTGCATTTTATTTAAATTATTGAGTGAATTATATGTATTTGGTGAATAAGTGTGCAGTATGTGACATGTGGTTGGGTTGGTGATAGTGGTAGAATTAATTAGAATTTTAATTAATTTTATAATGAGGAAAATAATTGAAATAGTATAAGTATTAGAAAAATAAGGAAAATTATAAATACTAACTGATTAATATTATTTGGTGAAAATTAGATTTAATTATAAAGTAAATATAAAAAAAGTAAGGTAGTAAGGGTAAAGTGGGGATTAAGGAGATAAGTGAGGATATGATAGGAATAACCTAAATGAGGGAAGTAAGTTTTCTTTTAAAAAGGGAAACATGTGGGAAGTTGAGTTTTTACTAATCGTGAAATTGAGCTTGGGGAAAAAAGAGGCAAAGACTTTAGAGAGGCCAGGGCTTTGAGAAAGAAAAAGGAAACCACCATTTTTGAAAAGCTTTTGCTACAAATTCAGGTAAGGGGTGGGAGAGACTACTTCGTATATTTGTGTAATTTATGAAGAGTAGAGAGGGCTCCTTACCCTCATCCTTTGGAGTTTTCCATTTCCACCATTGCTGAATGGTTGAGGGCTTAAGATGAGTTTCGTAGAACTCTTTCTTAATCTCTGTGTTTTGATATTAATTTCTGTATATTGATTTCATGTCAATTTTGTGTGAATATATTTGGTTGAATTCTAAAATTTGGTGTTCTTATGAGTTGTGTTGCAATTGTTAAAGATGATGATGCTTTGAATCAAATCGATGTAATATATGTTAATATGTATTTATTTGTGTGTTTTAATATTGTATTAACATATATGATTGAATTTCATACGTTTGGAATCAATTAGAGTCAAAATAGGAGCTTTGATAAGGCTCCAATGGGGGAAATCGTACTTTCATAGGTTATGGTTTGAGTGATCTCGCCAAACGAGGATTAACTTCGCCCAACGAGCGATGTATCGCACAACCAGATATGTAGAGTGATGAATTATGGTTTCTGAGATGTGCGCCCAGTAAGAGGAGAGTTCGCCGGGTGGCAACACATAATTGAGTTGTTTTCGAGTTAATTTGGTAACATTGTGTTGTTTTGACGATTAATCTGCACTGTCACGTAATGTTTGAGATTATGTGTTTATATTTGACGTGAATCGATGCATTTTATTGAATTGATAATGATTATGCATGAAATGGTTAATTTTATATTGAGTTGTGCTCAATTGATTAATAATGGGAATGGTTATGATGATTGGTGATTAATTATATGGAGAATACATAATCGTTGTTTATTGCGGTGGTAGTTTTGAAGGGGGAACTACGTTGTTGCTATGTTGAACATTATTATGATTTTATTGTTGTCATTTGTGTCGTTGTTATGAAATAGGCGAGGTATGAGTCTATAAGGGTGAATGAGTAACTTGTTCGAGTCTAGAAGGGTGTACTTGGGGTCCAAAAGGGTGAACCCTGTTCATATGAAGAATCATTGTTGATTAGTACCACATGCATGATGTTGATGTTGTGAGTCACATTGCATGCACATGAATATATTATGATGGAAAAGATGTGGTATTGTAATGGTGTGGTTTGTACATTGAATGTGTGATGTGTTGTGTGTTTATCCATCCTTACATTCTTTACACCATTTTATATTAAAGTTTATTTTCACCTCTTTTGATTTATATTATCCACCAAAGACCTCTTACGGATAATCAAGAGTAGAATTTTGTTGCTGTGAGTGAAAGATAACTTCTAAGACTTACCTTTGTTTATTTATCGTTCTATTGTATTTTAATGGTTTAGTGCTCTGATCTTATATCATAAGGGACAATAGGCTTTTGCTATGTTTTGAGTTGGTGTCAATTTTGATGTTAAAGTTTAATACATTATTTAAGAAGTTCAATTTGAAGTTTTTATTATGTTAATTTCCACTGCATATTGTTAAATATTTTTGAAAGTTTTGTTGGTTGGTTATCGAAGTGACACCTTAAGTTATCGATTAATTCTTTTTAGAAAAGTTTATGGGTTTATGGTGTTACATTTCAAATCTCTTTTGTTGTTTTACAATGTGATATACAAAAGAATTTATCCATACCTAGGTCTGGTTGAAGCATGTTCTTTGCAGTTTTGTCAAATAACACTTTCTTCTTTTCATCATCATTCCACGAGCCTTTTACTTTGACTTGTTCTACATTGTTAATAACCTTCGTAGGAATGAAATGACCATTTTTAACAACATCCCATATATCTTTTCCTTGTGCTTCTATATATGTTTGCATGCGAATTTTTCAGAAGTCATAATGTTCACCGATAAAACAAGGAGGTTTGTTTTAACTGCCACCATCTCAAAAAATTAGATTAGCAAAATAGATTTTTACCTAGATTTAGTCCCTTACACCCCGTGAGATATTTTTACTATTATTAGATCTTTGTACAAGCCTCACACCAATACTTCTCATATAATATTCTAACAACAACAAATAAGCAAACCACTTTCTTGATTTCACAAAACACCAACAACTATGGTGGATTTTGAATCACCACAATTCAAAAGAATTTTTCCAAAAACTAGAAAGACAAGCCTTCCTATTTGTAAACTCCAGTAAAAAAATACAAATACTTTTTTTGCAAACAAATATCACCACATACTTGGTGAAAATTAAAGTAAATAGATAATTTCTAATAAGACAAATTTTGATAAAATGAGAATTTTGCTGCTTTTTTGGAATAATGAAAATTCAATATTCTTTTTAAATGAAAAAATTAAGATGATATAAACATTAAGTGATCAATTATTTTCATTAAACTTTTTCACATATAGTTGAAAATTATACAGGAAAAAGTTGTTTTGTCAAATATTACTGACACTTAAAAATAGAAGAAAATTGTTCATTAAAGAAGTAAATTGATCATTGAAAACTTATGCATTTTATTGTGACACATAACACCCTTTAAAATTCATGTCAATGTTTTATAAATAATTAGAAAATATGATGTAATGATTTGGAAAGATTTTTATGAATATGTGTCATGAAAAGGTATGAAAAGATTAAAAAAATTTCAATTTCCTACTGACGATAATCACTTGTTCTGCCATGTCAATCGATTGCCATTGCTTCAACGTTAAAAAATTATGGAAATTTACACTATGAAAATAGATTATCCCTTGTAAATCGATTGTCACAAGCTTAAAATTCAAATTTTGGTTGACAGAGAAATAAAATAATCGATTGATACATCCTGTAAATTGATTGCTTCAAAAAATAATTTGAAATTTTTTAAAGTTAAAGTGCAACTTGCAAAATCTTGATGCAATAAACTTTAGAAATGTTTTGGATGGATATGCTTGAGCTATTGTACTTTGGTCTATGATCCAATTTCATTGAAATCCAAAAACTTACTCAAACTCGATGCTTTGATTCTGATCTTTTTCTTCTAAGATAAACTTTTTTCTTCATCAAAATAAAGTTAAGAAGGATAATCATATCTTCTTCACACAAATGATGTGTCACCGCCTCCACCTGGTATGATTGATCAGCAACAACGTAGATATAATACTTATTTAAGATAATCTCATAAGTTTGGTAAATCCAAATAACAAAGTTTATGCTTTGACATCACAAATAACACACATTTCCCATAATAGACTTGTGCATACTATACTATTTGTGTAATACTTTGGTTTTATAATGAATTATTTATACATTATTGATATTTTACCTTAACATTGAATTAGATAAAAATTTAACATTACATTATTTATGGGATTAACATAACTTAATACACACATTATTTAACGTAACTGAACTTAACAAGAAAAATAACATGAACTAAACTGAAACATTACTAGATGATTAAAGACATTTCAAAATCTTGATAATATTGTCGATAAATATCATAATTTTCACATCCATCCTAACCAAACTCTTTTGTTTCTTATTGATGATATGTGCTCCACACGATTTTTAAATCTTCATCCGTCTTTAGTTCAAAGTTATTAAATTCTTTCCTTCATTATCAATCAACGATGAACGCTACTCGATCTTAACCACATTTTTATACTTGTTATGATGCAATAGACTATCTAGTTTGGATTTTACAACAACAAAAAGAGTGTCCTTTGTGAGTCTAAAATCAACTTTCAGGTCGTCGAAGTACATATATGTAGATATCAATTTTGAGACATTATGAGATGTTCTTTTTAATAACATATGCTGCATATTTATACAAGTTTTAAATTTTTATTGACTACATAAAACAACCAGTACAATCACATCCCTTAAAATTTGTTGACAAAGTCTCAGTGGTTCAGTTTTAACACTTAAAATTCTTAGGTTGTGGGGAAAAATTCGAGTAAATTTTGAAACGCACCGAATTTTTCTAAAATGTAAGTAAAAAAAAATACCAAATTTTTATATTTGCTTGAAGAATTTTTTGAAAAATAATTTACATGCTTTCAAGAAAAAAATGAGAGGGACATTGTTGATAGTATTAAGTTAAAATGTGTGGTGTGGTGCCAAATATAAATCTAGGGGTGTTAGGTTAAATTCTTCTTGGTACAAGTAATATGGTCCATTAGGCCTGGACCCAAATTTCTCAATAACCCAACTCGCTATCGATATAAAAACGTCGCCGTCTGAGTAGAAATTAAAAGAACCCTAGCAGAGAGAGATCCGTGAGAAGCAGCTGCAAGAAGAACCCTAGCACAGTTCCTCTGAAAACCATTGCAGCCATGGTGAAAATCGGAAACTCTCTCTTCTCAACTCTTCGGTTATTTCTACGATTTTCGCATTGTTGAATGATTAATTTGGTTGATTTTTCAGGCAGATGTTGAACCCGAGGTTGCCGCACAAGGAGTGCCAAAGAAGAGAACGTTTAAGAAGTTTAGTTTCAGAGGTGTTGATCTTGATGCTCTCTTGGATATGTCCACTGATGAACTCGTCAAGCTCTTCTCCGCTCGTGCCCGTAGAAGGTATTGCAGTGAATCTGAATTTATTTTGGCTTTATAGTGTGATTGTTGAATTGAAATTGCGAAGTAGTTAGGAGGTGCTGTGATGATTAGATGAAATAATCTCGTTAATCTGATTTATTATGAGGATAATTTTCATATCCATTCATTATTTTCTGAGCACCATTTTAGGTTATTAGTCAACAATGTTAGATTTTTAACTTTGCGGATTGACACTTGAACATGTTTATACTTTTTTATTATCATTTTGTTCTATAGAGTCGCTAAGGTAACGGTGTGAGATCTATCTTATGTTTTGTTCTATACAGTAGTTCATACTGCCACTAATGATATTTAGGATTAGTTTTGAAATTACTATTCGAAATTTCATTCTCTTTTCTATTTTCTTCGCAAACCACGTCTCATCTTGATCAAAACTGCATCTCATTTTGATCCATTACAATTTTCAGGTTTCAACGTGGTTTGACCCGCAAGCCTATGGCACTAATCAAGAAGCTCCGCAAGGCTGTAAGTTTTCGCTTTATTTCTGTATCTATTCTGTCAGTTTGTTAGTTCTTGTTGATTAGTTCTATTTTTATAGTACATGAGGATATGTAGAAGGAATAGTAATGTCAGTTTGTTAGTTTGTTTACTTATGGAATGATTGATTTAATTTGATTTGATACACAATTCAAAGCTCAAAGATGTGAAGGATATTATTAGTTCTATGGGTGGGGTGCTATGATGATTAAGTGAAATAATCTCGTTAATCTGATTAATAATGAGGATAACTATCATATCCATTCATTACTTTCTGAGCACCCTTCTTCCTTATCTTTACATTATGGAATATTTAAACTTGGCAGAGAACATTTTACTCAACATACATTTGATAACAATTTTATGACCAATAAACTTATGTGCATACTTGAACAGTATTGTGTTAAACTTGATCTGTTTCACTTGTTTATGTTTTTAATCATGGTATGTATGATTCTACATTGTGACAGAAACGTGAGGCCCCTGCTGGTGAGAAGCCTGAACCTGTAAGAACTCACCTCCGCAACATGATCATTGTGCCTGAGATGATTGGTAGCATAATTGGTGTTTACAATGGGAAGACGTTCAATCAAGTTGAAATTAAACCTGAAATGATTGGCCACTATCTAGCTGAGTTCTCAATCTCATACAAGCCTGTTAAGCACGGTAGGCCCGGTATTGGTGCTACTCACTCCTCCAGGTTTATTCCTCTCAAGTGAAGATCATCACCAAAACCCCTATCCATATGTCAATGGAAACTTTATCTTGTTTTATTGCACCTATTTAAATATTTTATTTCTACTTGACATTGTTTTTTGACATTTAGGACACCAGTAAACTGAAGTTTTGGATTTAATATATGTTATTGAGCTTTTTAAATTTTCTATTTCTGAGTTAGTATGGATTATAGCTAGTGTGATATTTTGGCCACAAGAAGCTTTGGAAACATTATGATAGTTTTCAAAACTCACTTTTAGGATTGGTTTGTTAGGATACAGTTTTCAATATTCACTCAGGATTTTTATATTCAGTTTTGGTTCTGTTTCAGTTTGCCGTTTAGTACTCTTCCATTGTTCTTGTACAGTCCTAGGGATTACACGTACTCTAGTGTTCTGCTGGGCTTTAAGTTGCAATTATACTTGTTTTTAATTTATGACTTGCTCGTTAATCAAGATAATGTTCCTGCTAGAAATGTCAAAATGAGCAACTTGACCCATAATGGTTAGCTCATTGGGTTCGGGCATTTTAAGATTGGCTTAAAAAAGCCTATTTTTAATAGGAGCTTGAAATTTACTACCTGAGCCCAGTCTTTGATGGGCCCTGGGCTCCTGGCCATATATGGGTTTTTTTAAATAAAAAATTATAAAAATACCATATGTTTATTATAAATTAGTATTTTTTTTAAATTGTATAAAATAATAATTAAATATTTATCATAAGAGAAATTAATAGAGTGTTGATTATATTAATACATAATATTTAAAAGAGAAAGATTGAATAGAATAGAGATAAAATTTACTTAGATGAGTAAAATTAATATTTTATTTTGGAGTAAGACAATATAAATATAAATATTTTTTTTTAATTTATATTAATATGGGCTACCCAGTTCATATAGGCTAACTCTAATGGGTAAGCGAGAGGAAAAGTTTTGAAAAATATGAGTTTTAATTTTAAGGGTCAAACCTTGTGATTTTTGGGTCTGATAGGTCGGTTCATATGGAATAGTTCATTTTGTCAGCTTTATAGATGAACGATTCTAAATTAAAGCATGAAAAATAAGGTGGGGCGGAGTGATTATATTTGAGGATGCGGGTTTAAAATTTATATCAACTCCGCATATATTATACCTATTAAATCTAAAAACACAAAATTTTATATAAATACTTTTTCTTTCAAAAGTCCAAAATTTAGATCAACTTCGCATATATTATACCTATTAAATCTAAAAACACAAAATTTTATATAAATACTTTTTCTTTCAAAAGCCCGCGAAGAAAACAGGACATGTCCAATATGTTGGATTTGTTTTGCCACCCTTATTCATAATATTATTTAGGCATTTGTCCAGATTTTGGAATTCGTATCACCCTATTATACTAAAATAAAGACCGGACAATGTAATATTTTGTCCATGGCGTGACATAATTTTGAAATCTGAATTCATCTCAACAATATTGTTTTAGGGGTTTGTTCAGATTTTAAAATTTGAACACATTTTTAATCTGGATGGAGTGCCTTTCTCATGAAGAGATTTTATTCCGTAATTGATGTGTCAGAATTTTAATATTCAAACAACACAAAATACACTTTTGAGTTTCTATAAGATTAATGAACATTGCAGGTGTAGGAAAAACTATCCAATTAAAAATCATGAATGGATTGAGCCTAATCATTTAATTTAAGGAAATTGCTTAAGGAATCTTAAGCATTGCATCCCTATCCCAATGAAAAATCAAAACTATCCCTAGGATAAACAAATTTATGCATGCGGGATCACCCAAAATTAAGTAGTTTTAAGTCATGCCCCAATTTTATTACTAAACTTAATTCGAAAAGCATATACATATGTCTTATGAAAGTGCATTTTCGGAATTTATTGAACCAAAAAACAAATGCAAAAATAAAGATAAATTAATATTGATAATTGTTATATCATACATAAAAACAAATCCATCTTAACATCAAGATGAGTATTTCAACATCTTCATAATATATTCGATCAATCTCGCAATCGTCGAATTCATCTCGATCAGACTTTTTGTTTTGTAACAGTTACATGTATTTCATATAATCCTTAAATCTACATTCCTCTTCATGTAATACCATAAACCCTAAAACTTATATAAAAAGATTTAATCGATAATTTAAGGTGTCACTACGACAACCATCCAAAAATTCGTCAACACGTTTGACAACAAGTAGCGAAAAATCATATCACAACAACTTTAAAATTAACTTTTGCAAATAAAGTATTAGAATTTAAACCACATAATTCAGCATTAACTCAAAGGTAAAATTACTTCAAAAGTCCTTTAAGTTATTTGTTTCATTGTTTGTAACAGGTTGATCCTTAAGTTTTTTTTTGTATCAACTTGGTCATTTAAGTTACTAAAAGTGTGCACCGTTACCTTTTTTAACATAGTAAATATGGTAATTGTAGATGTAATTATTTTGAGTGGTATGAAAATGATGAAGTGCAACTAGAAATACAACAATCTCACATTTCTTAATGTTCAAAATGTGAGAAAAAAAATGTAGAAATCACCATAAAGGACCAAGTTATTAGAAGAAAAAAAAAATTAAAGAATCAACCTGTTAAAAAAATATCTTAAAGAAGCTCTAATGTAATTTTCCCTAATTCAAAACATAGTAATAACACCCCGTTCTCGATGTTTCAGACCAGAGCATTTAACCAACTAAAAGTGATAAACAATAAAATAAATAAAGATGAACTCCAAGACTATCTTCCAACTCACAAGCAACTACTAATCATATTCCTGAGTAAATGTACACATTGTACATCAACACACAAACAAAACAACAAAGGGGTGAGAATACATTCAAATATGTTAGCGGTGCAAAAGATCAGGAATAGTAGCTTAAACAACAACAACAATCATCAACAGGTAATGTATTCACACAACAATCATCAATTCACAAATGTCAACTTGTATGCAATGTGACAGCATATCGACTCCATATGCATTTGGTACCAACTCAACAATGGTTCTTCATACGAACCGGGTCCCAACATTTGAACCCCGAGCCCCCTCATCTGAGCTTCAGACAAGTCACTAGTCCCAACATCTGAACTTGTGACTCGCCTCTTTCACAACAACGATAACATATGATGTATGACATACAATAATGCAACGACAATAACACCACAATGATAACATCCATACATATGACTGTAACCAATCATGCATTTAACATATCAATAATAGTTCTCACTCTGAACTACGCATCTCAACAATCATCAACAAGTATCTATAGCAACTCACATAATTATACGTGCACTTTACATCATATATTCACACATCAAATAAACATCCATATAACACTCAATCATATCAATTCTTAATATCACCGCATCATCATTAATTCCTTCATTTACAACGATTTATTGTTCGTTCTTTATCATCATTCATTACGCAATAAGTAAAAATATTAAATTTCAGAATATTGAAGTATCCATATAGCCTCTTAACACATCATTGTGGGATATCCATACACACCAGCTTTCCAACGCTTAAAACCGCACCTCATTTAGATTTATGAAACTAAAGTTATTGTAAAAACAATCAGAGAAAATAATATGTTTCAACTAAATTTTTGTTCAGTAATTTTTCACAATTTTACTAGCAACAATCGATTGTCCGAGACCATCAATCGACTGATCTGATTTCTCCATACATTATGTTTTTTCTTATTTTTTACGTTTTGGCTTATTGCAGTTGATTGATTTAAAGAGTTAATCAATTTACATCATTTTTTGTTTTTTTTAGATTTTTCTCAATTTTCACGTGATCAATCAATTAAAATAGGGGGTCAATCGATTGACATCATCAAAATTTTCAAAAATTCCAATTTTAATCAAGTTTTAGTAATCTTTATCCCTTCTAAACCCCATCCAAACATGCCATAACATACCTAAACGTTTCACACTGTAACTTCAACATCAGTAAACAGATAGTAGGCGATCAATATAATAATTTTCATGCAATTTACACATTAACATCAATTCACCATGGAAATTATCTTTGTGTTCATCATCATCAAACACATCAACAAGAATGATACCAAATCCAAACTCACATACAATTCACATACCAAATTCTGAAATCATTATATCATGAACACATAATCACACATCAAGAATCAGTAATATCATCGAATATTCATAACCATATAAAAAGCTCAGAAAATACAACAATGGTGGGGAAACCTAGAGGAGGGTGATGACCCATTTCTACCCTTCATACAATATTCACCCATATTAGAGTAAACTTCCCCTTACCTTGGATTTCCAGCAAAGCAAACTCTACAACAATGGTGATCTCTCCCTCTTCCTCGAGCCATAAGTTGTCTCTCTTGCCTCTTTTCTCTTGTTCCAAAATAATGCATACGGTAAAAGTTCTGGCCATCACCTTTTTTATTTAAACCAAAATCTAATTCTCCTTAATTAGGTTATCCACTTATTACCATCAACTTACTCCCATATTTTCTATATTGGTATTACTCGTCTTACTAACTCTAATTTATTTTATTTTAATTTTTAGTTCTAATAATCAAATTTCCACCAAATTCTACTATTTTTCTTATTTGTCTACAACTACCTTATTTTAAATTATTCCACTCAACTTAAATTAATCCAATTAATTTCTACCATTTCCTTAAATCTCTCCAATACCTACCAAGACACATATGTTCATCAATTATTCAAATAAAAATATATAAGTTAATTTAAATAGTAAAATAGAACATAACCAAATTTAATTAAATAATTTAATTGAATTCAGGGTGTTACACTTCACCTCAAAGTTGTTGAATTGAATCTCCCATTCATTGTCAATTGAGGGTGAACGATACTTGAGCTTCACAATTCTTCGATTGTCCGTGTATTGTACGAGATTCTCTAGTGTGAATTTTAGATCTACAAGAGGGATGTACTCTGTAACCTTAAATTCAATTGAGAACTTCACGTCGTTGAAGTAAACATATGCGACATGCCAATTCATGTTCATTCTAGTGTAATGTGATTTTGTAGAAAATATGAGATGAGAAACCCATATTTATAGAATGTTTAGGTCAATATGGACCTTTAAAATTCAATCCTATCATAAGAAATATTTCGGAGATCTATTTCTGGTTGTACCCCATTTTGTTGTGTGAAAGTAGGGTGAATCCGAAAATGCATTTTAGAATAAACCCATGATTGTATTTTTTTAAAACATTTGGTATGAACCCGGAAATGTATTTTTGGAACCATCCAAAACTGTTCACATAAAACCAATTTCAAAAATAGAGTCTGTTTTAGTAGAATAGAAAATGGAGAAGTATTTTGAAAACTGAAACATACATTAAAATCTTTGAAAATGTGTATATTTGACATCATTAATGTTAAGACAATGATTTTCGATGTGTTTTCTTTGTCCTTCAACATTTTCCAGCACACTTCTAAAGGTCAAGTAATGTTTTCCTCTTATTTGCTCTTAAGAAATGCAAACTCGACATAATAAGTCTTCTCGATAGAAGCAACACTAATAATTTTCAATAGTGGAAGCCTATATTTGTCGGTCTTATACCTTGAATCAATGACGAGTACAATAGAAAACATGTTGGACAACTTTATGGAATCCAGATGAGTCCAAAATATATTTCGAACAATTACTCCATTCTCGCACATTCAATACCTAGATACATATTTTTATCATCCAGAAGTTTCAACAATTGTTGCATTTCAGTTCTACTCCCATAACGTCTTGTTGTTAAGAACACAAATATTGTATACTTGCTTGATATTTGAGATATTTTCGGGTCTTTTACGTTTCAAAGTTGCAAGTATGTTTTTGAGCTGCACCATATTCAATGTCATGTCTAAAACAATTTCTTTCTCTTCCGGCATAAGGCGACATGCAATGGGACGACCGACTAACTTGCCACATATGTCATGATTATGTAAACCACAAATCACATTAATTCCTCATTTTATTTGCCAAAAGATAACCATATAACTTAAATGAACACACATTTTTTCGAACCAGTGTCATCTCGTTTGAACTTTCAAAGAAAAGTTATGTACTTCCCACTTCTTTCGCATCTCATTGTCATAAATGCAAGTTTTCTATTTGATCCATCATCGAAAATTTCGATTACAACACCAAAACCCAATTTGGATGTCTCAATGAGAATCCATTAAAGCATATGATCATGAAACTCAAACTCTTGTCCATTTGTAAATTGGTTGCCAACACATACCTCTTTGACATCAACACGTTTGGCATGCATAGACACAATATATTTGAGAAAAACATCAGGGTGCACCATACCTAAGGAAAACAATAACATAAAATTCAAAAACAAAATGAAATGAACACTGAACTATTCTAGATATGCACTTCCGTAGGAATTCACCTAGAATTCAGAAATGCATTTCCGGACGCAACATAACGTTTTCAGCTCATAAATTAGATTAATGTAAGTAATGAGGAATGAAATAAATGGTCTTTACCTTAAATTTTAGTTTCATTTGTTCATTTTGATGCGATGAAACACAAGAACGAAGTTTTAGAGTGCAAAATTTGATTGAGAATAAAAGGATTTTTTTTGTAAGAGTTGAGAGAAAATGGTGTTTGATCATGAAGAAGAAGAGCATGCAGGGTTCTGTTTTATTAAAAATCACATTTGAAGAATCTAGAAATGCACTTTCGAAAATGCAGCTGACACACAAAAGTGACATGTTTTTAAATTTTCGCTTCACAAATCCGAGAATGCACTTTCAGATTTGTCACTGAATTGTTAAAGTAAAAATACATTGATAGAATGGATTTAACTATGCATCTCAAACTATTTTTTTTTTTTAAAAATATAAGATGTTTTGAAAATACATTTTCAAAATAGAAAAACATTTTTAAATTTCCATAGAATACTCTTCCACCATTTATGTTGGAACAAACCATTCCCTAATTTAAAAAGCACCAATTGAAAAACTAAAAACAACTCATTGTTTTAAAACATAAAGGCAAATGGCCAAGAAACCATCACTACATTTTTTTGGTATCTTGTATCATTATGTAATGAATGAAATCCTTAATGCGTGTTAAGTGGTGGTTCCTTATTTGACCAATTCAATACACTTTTAGTCTAACCATTGATAATGATAGTGGATCCATACGTAGTATTTGTTCCATCAAAGGTTATAAACTTTGCCAATATCAACATTATTATTATGAAACAAAAGTCTCCTCCTCAATGATTAATATTCGAATTAAACACATTATTGATTTTGGATGTATCCTTAGTTTTTATTACTAAAACATATCCAAAATTGGGCAGGTCAGCATATCCAAAACTTCACTCATGCGTATGTTAGTTGAAGACACGTGGATAATACTAAGTCTTGTATTTTATGTACAATCAAATATCTTCATAGTTTTGCATTATAGTCTAAAATGTAATCCTTGAAATCATTATTCACACTTAACTATTTGATTCTTCATCATGATCTTAAAGATTTTTTAACATGTTGAATACAATGAATCTCATTCATAATCAATTTTTTTTCTTATTAATTATTTACTTTCTTATATATTGAAAATTTCTTATATATTGAGAACTTCTGCCGTATTTGTCAGAACTTTTGTATCGATAATTTATAATTCTGTAAATATTCTTTTAAGTCTTATGATCTGTTCGGAGTCTATATCATCTGATTGTAGAATATAGTTGGTCAATAGTCTAAATATAGTTTCCCATCTCTCAATTCTTTTGAAGCAAGTGATTGCTAAATATCAATGATTTGCAAGAATTTGGGGTCAAAAGATAGAATTTATTCTCCAACAATGTTGATACCAAATGGTATTGGACCCAATGAAACTATGATCGAGCATGAATGCCCATATTGGTCCCCTTGCAACTCACATGTTCTGTTGAGAAACTTTGAATAGCCAATAGAACATTTCTATTAGGGGAAGCTAAGCAATGTAGCTAAGGCAAATCAAGAAAGGTTCTACTTTGAAACTATTACCTTTTGTCTTTGATTCAAAAGATGCTAAATTGTCCAAAACTAGCTTCAACTTGCATAGAAGTAATTATGTAAATGCAGTGTTTGTTACACAGAATCAACTATAAATAATTTTAAAATAACTCAATTATTTATAAAACCTTTTGTTATTAGTATATATATTGTGAATTTCTAATCAAGTATAGCTTAAGTGTCACTTCACACGATATCAGAATAGTCACACTTCCTTTTGTCATTCAAACAAGCAAGTCGGCATTTACACTCATACTTCGCTTTTCAAACACAGGAATAGTTGCGTTGTAGTTACACAACTCTAAAAAAGTAACACGCAAACTGTCACAACTCATGCAAGTTGTCATTCATAGTCGGATTTCATTTTTCAAACACGCGAATAGCTACACAACTCTAAAAAAGAAACATGCAAGCTGTCACAACTCTAAAAAAGAAACACGTAAGTTCGCTTTTCAAACACGCGAATAGTTGCATTGTGGTTACACAACTCTAAAAAAGAAACAAATCGCCATTAATAGTCACACTTCGCTTTTCAAACACGCGAATAGTCGCGTTGTAGTTACACAACTCTAAAAAAGAAACACGCAAGCGGTCATTCATAGTCACAACTCTAACAAGGTAATAAACCAGTTGTCATTAATAATCACACTTTGCGTTTCAAACACGCGAATAGTTGCGTTGTGGTTACACAACTCACAAAAAGAAACAAATTGCCATTAAAAGTCATACTTTGCTTTTCAAACGCGCGAATAATCGCGTTGCAGTTACACAACTCTAAAATAAGAAATAAGTTGTCATTAATAGTCACACTTTGCGTTTCAAACACGCGAATAGTTGCGTTGTGGTTACACAACTCACAAAGAAACAAATTGCCATTAAAAGTCATACTTTGCTTTTCAATCGCGCAAATAATTGCGTTGCAATTACACAACTCTAAAATAAGAAATAAGTTGTCATTAATAGTCACACTTTGCGTTTCAAACACGCGAATAGTTGCGTTACGGTTACACAACTCACAAAAAGAAACAAATTGCCATTAATAGTCATTGTTTGCTTTTCAAACACGCGAATAATCGCGTTATGGTTCCACAAATCTAAAAAAGAAATACACAATAGTCAGGTTGCAATAGTCATACATATTCTACTGCAGTTACACAATTCTACAAAAGGAAACTTAGCATTGAAAGTGCAGTGATAGCAGTATCACGCTGAGTTTCAATAATCATATTATACACTGTGATTTCGACAAACTCATTCTAATGTCATGCGCGTGACTTCGCACCAGACACATGTTAGTCACACAAAATAAGATATTCCAAATATGCGCAGAGTCACACTTTTCTTTCCAAACACGCAAAATGTCAAACATAGTCATACTTCACTTTCCAAACACGCGAAAGTGTCGTATCACAAAGATTTTGACAAACTCACTCTGATGTCAAATGCGCACCGCGTTTTTTTTCCAAATGCTAAGACATATAAGGTTATGTCTAGCTGTTATAACAGCAAAAGATAACCATATCATGTATATGTCAATTAGATTATACTAACAAAGTTATTTATAATCAACTGTTGTAATGCATGATGATAAACTAAGTTAATAACCTCAATTCAAAAAACAAAATTTCAAGAGCCAAACCATTCTCTAAAGACAAATTTCCATTAATTTAAAGAACCATGAAATGTTTATAACATACTTAAGAAAAATAAAAATAGTTTTTCCGAATTAAAACTACCCAATTTTACATACTCAATGCACTTAACCGATAAACTTCATCGACACCCCCTCTAAATAAACGACCCCTCTATCAAGTATCCAAAAGCCGAAATCTGCAACCCTCCTTGCATCACTTGAAATATGTACAGAAACATCTCAAGCCAAATCAATCACATAGAGGTTTTGACAAATTGAATGATAAGCCTCTCCATGTAGTTCATGCATTTGCAGATTGTGTTGGTACCTTGGGATGATTATGCTCACCTTCATAGGTAACAATCAGCATAGTCGGCTCTTCCAAACACCTCTCGACATGCTTCCTAGCCGGGCATCCTCTCATGCTGCTGCACTTGTAATATCCCCTAAAAAACCAAAGAAAACATTACAATCGGTTTTCGCTTAAACTTTTAGTTCACATTTCATCTTCATCTTATAGGCAATAATGGGAAAATAATTGAGCAAAATTTTGACGGTTACTAACTCTAAGACTGAGTTTACACCAAGAATTTCAAAACGCCAAATTAATTTCAAACACAATTTATACAATGAATGAAAAGATATAGTCGGCACCTGACACCTTATAAATTTTTTTAAGAGCAATCTAAATGACTCAACCGAGAATTCCTTAGTAAACTCCAATCAACATATGCATACACAAGAATTATCGAAATCCCAACAGGATAGTACATCATGATCATGTTAACAAACATTAATATCCCATAGAAGAAGATAACATCATAAAATCAAATTTCTAAAAGGAAAGGTTGACATTGAATATACCTAGGGTGAGGAGAGCCCTTGATCGGCTTCTGCCCGTACTTCCTCCACGAGTAATCATCAGGAGGGATATCAGCAAGTTTGTTGCTAATAGCAGGCACCTTGATTGATCTCTTCACTCTATGCTTCCTGTGAATAACACAACATAGATAGTAATTAATAGAAGCTTCTTAAAACTATAAACTAGCAGAAATTCATGATTAATGTAGCCACTATGGGAATAACCTCTTCTTAGAGCAATGGCATTTAGAGCTGCTGCCACATTTCAGATTTCCCTCATCGCCTCTAGCAGAACATTTTCTCTTGTGCTGCTGCGAATTCTGATCCGAAGAGATTGGAGCTCCTACTAAATGGAAGGAACTTCCATCCAAGTTAGCAACACTTCCGTCTATGCTCAACGACGAAATGAAAGACCTAGTGGACGACATTGTCAGTGTGCCACTAGTAGTGTTGTCAAAATTAAGGTTTACGCTATTAGCGTTCCTCCGAAACATCATTTCCGCTTGATGCTTCATTTGCTGATGCTGCTGGTGCTGTTGTTGCTGCATCATTAACCTCTGTTGCTGCTGCTGCTGCTGAAAGAATTGATAGTGAGTCGAGTGAGTCGACGCAGCTTGTTGAGCAAGGGGAAGAGGACTTTTCCCATTCGAGCTCAATTCCAAAGAAGTGTTTGGATTTGGATTTCTCACGGTTAATGCTAGTTCCTGAACCGAATTCTCAGGATAAGTAGTTTCACTAAAGTGAACTTTTTTGGTGCGATGGTTGTTCGGTTTCTTGCAAACGGGATTGTCTAAGAAGACATTCTGAGGAAAAGGAACTTGTTTCGGATTTCTAAACTTCCTAACTCTTGCATGACCCATTCCATCATGAAGCAAAGACACAACTTTCTTGAACCTATTCACAGCTTCACCAGTTTCCACCATTAAATTCTTATGATGAACTTGATCTCTTGGTTGAGATAACATACTCAGAACTCTATGACAGCTTTCAACAGCTGTTCTACTAGCTTGTTCAACTTCCTCCATTATAGCTTCTCTAACAAAATTTCACAAACAAAAAACTAAGTCTCAAAATCAAACTAAACACACACCAGAACAGAAAAAAACCATCTCATTCATCCACAAATACACCAGACATTGATTCTTATGTGGCAGATAAAAACACCCAGATGATAAAAATCCCATTTTTCACCGGACAATGAACCGTAAAAGTCGGATTTTTAGTTAAAGTTTCAAAATTTTCAGTTACTGAGATGATAAAGATTTAATCTTTTTGAAAAAAAAATCAAGACCCAGTGAATAGAATCAATTAATAATGCTTTCTACCAACATTACATAAAAAAACCAAAGAGATTAAAAATAAAAAGACTCAATTTTCCAAAAAAAAAACCCAAAAAAAAACATCATAGTACAGACAGACCTTGATGAAGTTGATGTTGTGAAACCCTAGATTCTGGTTGTTGCTGATGATGTTTCCATGAGTTTGAGATTGAAGGTGGGAAAGAGATGACTTTGGTTTGTTTTGTTGAGAGAATTCACACAACCATCACATAGAAGAATACAAAGGTTTCAACTTTAGACTAAAAAACATATATAAATTAAAGTCCTAAGCCACAACTAAAAAGAAAATATTTTATATTTGTAGCTACTCTAGTGAGAGAAAGAGAGAGATGAGAGAGAGGAAGAGAAAAGATGAGTTAGGAGTTTAAATAAGAAAAAAACACAACAAGAGGCATGAGGAAAAGAGCTTGAGAAATGAAACTGCTGTCTCTGTCACAGATTTGAAGGTGGGACCCACAGGAAGACCTTTGTTATTCTTTTTTCTTCCCTTATTTCAGCTTTAATTACTATTTTCTTAGACCTACCCATTTCAGCTTCACTTTTACTACTTTTACTTGTTGATTTAATTCATTACTGTGTGTTTTCTGATTTTTTTCTTTTTACTTGTGGTTTTTCTATGTTCTATACTATCTAGATCATAGTAAATTGGTTAAGTAAAGATTTTCTGAATTTCTAGATTTATGGTAATTTTTGGTAAAATTTTATTTACTATAGGATTTTGTTGAAATGTCAAAATCTGTGTTTTTTACTTAGTTCATCAATATTAGAGGTAAATATTCTACATAATTTTAACTCAAATGTAAATACAAGATTAAATGTATTTAGTATAAATTTAGACTAAATACATTTATTTTTTACTGTTAAAATAAAATGGATTTAATTTTTTTACCGTTAAAATAAAGTTGATATCTTTTAAGAAAATAAACGTGAGTTTAAAAGTTTGTGTCATTGAGTTAACGTGTTTGGTGTGAGTTCAAAAGTTTAGTCATTAAGTTAACGCGTTTGAAATATATTGTATATGTCATAGAACATGTGAGTTTGAAATAATGCGTGTACTATACGTTATATACATCATTATTGTGAGTTTGAAAATTTGTGATGTTAAATTAATACGCTTAAAATATATGTTAAATATATTTGTTTTTTTTTTACATTTAAAATATGTTATGAAAAATAAACGTGAATTTAAAAATTTGTGTAATTAAATTAGCGTGTTTGACGTGAATGTAAAAGTTTGTATCATTGAAGTTACGTGTTTGAAATGTGTTGGATATGTCATAATACATGCAAGTTTTAAATTATGTGAGTTTGAACCAACGCGCTTATTATCCGTTGTATATGTCATTATTCTAAGTTTAGAAATTTATGATGTTAAATTAACGCGCATACATCATCAAAATGTAAATTTTAAAACTTGCAATATTAGGTTAAATATCCACTTATATTTTTTTTTAACACATTCATAAATTGGTTTAGAGGATTACAACTAAGCCACATATTTCTTAAATTTTTAATTAATTATTATTCAATGAGTTTGATTTAAACAAAAATTGATCTTATCTAATTTAAAAAAAAAGTTTAGTGTGATAGATTATAGATCGTATTTATTTTATTGATTGTGATATTTCTATGTTTAAAATCACCTCGATATATTTTAGTCAAATAACAACGAGTTCAAAACTTTGTGCTTTTAAATTACTGAGTGTGAAATACATTTGATTTTTACCGTTAAATGAAGTAAATTTGATTTTTTTACTGTTAAAATAAAGTGAATATCTTTTAAGAAAATAAACGTGAGTTTAGAAGTTTACGTCATTGAGTTAACGTGTTTGGTGTGAGTTCAAAAGTTTAGTCATTAAGTTAACGCGTTTGAAATACATTGTGTATGTTAGGTGTGAGTTCAAAAGTTTAGTAATTAAATTAACGCGTTTGAAATACATTGTGTATGTCACAAAACATGTGAGTTTGAAATAATGCGTTTATTATACGTTATATACATTACTATTGTGAGTTTGAAAATTTGTGATGTTAAATTAATATGCTTAAAATATATGTTAAATACAATTGATTTTTTTTTTTTTACATTTAAAATATGTTTTGGGAAAATAATTGTGAATTAAAAAATTTGTATCATTAAGTTAGCGTGTTTGACGTGAATGTAAAAGTTTATACCATTAAAGTTACGTGTTTGAAACATGTTAGATATGTTATAATACATGCAAGTTTTAAATTATGTGAGTTTAAACCAACGCACTTACTATTGACGTGAATGTAAAAGTTTATACCATTAAAGTTACGTGTTTGAAACATATTAGATATGTTATAATACATGCAAGTTTTAAATTATGTGAGTTTAAACCAACGCGCTTACTATCCGTTATATAAGTCATTATTGTAACTCTAGAAATTTATGATATTAAATTAACGCGCATAAAGTGTGCTATATACATCATCAAAATGTAAATTTCAAGACTTGCAATATTAGGTTAAATATCCACTTATATTTTTTATAACACATTTATAAATTGGTTTAAAGGATTACAACTAAGGCACATATTTCTTAAATTTTTGATTAATTATTACTCAACGAGTTTGATTTAAACAAAAATGAATCTTATCTAATTTAAAAAAAAATTTAGTGTGAATTTTATCTAACATAAATTATAGATCGCATTTACTTTATTAGTTGTGATATTTTTATGTTTAAAATGACAACGAGTTCAAAAATTTGTACTATTAAATTACTGCGTATGAAATGCATTATATGTATCATAATATAATGAATACAAATTTATAACTTTGTAAGTTTGAATCAACATGTTTACTATCCGTTATATAAATTTATTTTTTAAAATTTATTTTGTGATGTTAAATTAATACGCTTAAAGTGAGTTATATGTATCATCAAAATATAAATTTTAAGACAATTTTTTTTATCTTATTTATTTTAAAGAAAAGTTTTAATCTTCAATCTAAATACATTATAAATCACATTTACTTTATTTGTTGCGATCTTCGTTTAGAAAATATCTTGATTATTGAAAATTTATTAGTTAGGTGAATATTTTATTTATGGTAAATTTGGATTCTATTAAAATTTAAAAATGTGTATTTTTAAAATCAAAATTGCGATTATTTACTTTAAATTTAACTATTCATCAATCTAAATTCATTGAGAATAGTTTAGTTGAAGAAAATGTAATTGGTTTAGGCTTAAATTTTTCAAATGTGCTATCATTTTTTTAAAATATATTATTTGATTTAAATACTATTTAACAATTATTAAAACGAGTGTAATTTAGTGGGTTAAATAATAATATTAATTTTATTTCATTATGGAATCATAATTGAATGTAATTGACGAATTGAAGATTTTGAACCAATGATGCTGATCTCCGATACGACAGTACGATGTGGACTTGCAAGGTTAACACTCCAATGCTCAAGACAGTTCAAGATTCAAGAATAGTGTAGTGAAAAGTAGATATCAGATAATATACCTTGCTTTCTGTGCGAGCTGATTTTATACCTTGGATTAAGTGGAGTGTATTTGAGATTGGGTCTCAGGTATTTGGACCTTTGGCCAACCATGAACAATTGTCCCAAAGGCTTTGTCTGACACTGAAGGAGCAGAGATAACCTTTAGTGATTTTTGCCCGGTCTTCAAGAATGTTGTCCGATGTGAGCTAGAACTGGAACGTTTGGAGTCAGTTGAAAAAGTAGTGGGGAACAAGTGCATTAAATGCCTTTATCATTGAAACGTTTCACTACTTTCTTTTGACACGTTGTTTACTAGTGTTTTTGGTAAACAATCACGAGTTTGAAAGTCTATGAGATTAATTGAAAACTCTCCAAAGCAATTTGTGAAAATACTTTGTGTGAACACACATGCGTGTGAATTGAATGTAACGTAGTAAAAAACTTTAAATGAAGTCAAGTTGTAGAGTAAAATGCAGCAAATAACATTAAACAAAGTAAAAGAAAAGATAAAATGTTTCGTCTAAGGAAGCAAAAAAGACTAAGAAAAATGTATGGACGCATACGCATACATGTTTCTCGCTCAACTATTTCACTTTTTGACTCGGGTACTCCAATGGTATAGAGACTATGTATGAAATGTTACAAACTCGGATCCCATGTATGAGTCTGCTATTTATTCTATTTATAAAATAACAGTAGGCGACATTTATGACCACTAGAGGAATAGTTGCATTTGCTCCACATTCAATCCTCCAGGCTTCCACTAGTGCACTTACGTGTCTTCAAAGCACTATTTGCTTGAAACCCATGTTGAGTGGCAACTACTTTTCTAATACTTCCACGATATTTCGACAGCTCCAAACATGTCATCGGCGATGCCCATTAAGGCCCCCAAGACTTGTAAGATTACTTAAGTCTTTTATACCACGCCGTTTTCGTCGACGAGTCCTTGTGATGGAATGAGGGTCTCTGTTGAGTATCCTTCTCGAGATTCTGGACATGTTTCCATCTACTTCACTTTTCGAGATTTTGGATATTTACTAGTAAGCTAAGGCATGGATATTTATGAGTGCAACTTTCCAATTAGATTTATTTTGAATGATGTCAAAACTATGACACTTTAACGTTTATGTACATTGGACAATATAATTTGAGTCTAGCATTGCATTTTAGCATAAGGGAGCATGAAAATATGTTAGAAAAGG